AAAAAAAAAAAAAAAAAAAAAAAAAAGTATATTAATGGCATTTTTGTAAATAATAGCTGATATTTATCCGAACCCTAACCACCATTATGTTTCTTCTCAAGTCTCATGTCACCCTCTTTCTCCATTATTGACAAATTCGTTCGAAGTATTTTGAGCGTTTTTTCTATCTCCAACCATCAAAATTTGCTTTCATATTATGACTGTCTCCTTCAATAATTTTTTGTTCAAATATGTTATTGTGACAAACAAGTTGACGTGCAAAAAAGACACTGAACAGCCATCGCCTAACATGAAACGCTCCAACTCGAGCATCATTTTAGACATAGGCATAAACTCTTTAGAAATTTATGTGAAATTTGAGCAATGGGGAATAGAAATTCAATGGCCAATCTGTGTATAAAGCCAAATTTGACTTGGTTTTCAAGGGATGGAGAATAGAGGAAAAGTAAGCATGATTGAGGGCAAAATTGGTAATGAGGAGACAAATGGCATAAAATAAGTTTTAATTAAAAGACTATTTGCCTTATTCTTCGAGGTCTCACACCAAAGCACTTTTAAAGTCGAGTAAATAAATTAATGTTTTCGGCATGCTGGAGAAACATTTAACTTTTCTATTTTTCTACTTTTCTATTGACTGACTCACTTGAATCAATTGAAGGAAATTTTTAGAGGAAGAGTTGCAACTCTACAACACTCGGGTGGTATCGAGGTTCGGTTGATTTAGAAAAGAGATTAAGAAACTGTGCAAATGGTTGAATGGTTGAATTGATGACTTACAACTTTGATCATGGTATTCTTTTCAATACCCTCAAAATGGTCCACCATAAAAGTTGAAGTAAAAAAGATTAAATATCTAAAGGTTGCTATGTAATATCATCGACATATTTCATATACACCATATACGTAATACTCAGTTCGATTTTATCAATTTTGAGCCAAATCGAGACCCGAATCAAACCATTCAGTCTAGTAAAAACAAGAGTAACTAATGACAAAATAGATCGGTTTGGTTTCGGTTAGTCCGGTTTTGGTCGGTTTCGAGTCCTAATAGGTTTTATGTGTGGACTACCTTGGAGAAGGAGCTATTTCAGATTCTGAGAGGACTCTAGTGGACATGACACGAGTTTGTGTTGAAGTACTTTGATGGACTGCCAAGCACTCCTCGAGCTCCTCCAAAACATGGCTCATGTCCGGCCTCTGTAGAGCATTTGGCTGTGTGCACGACATGGCAAGTTCTATGAATTTCCAAGCTGAGTTTTTGTCAAAATCTCCTCCTAACTTGGAGTCAACAATGTGTTCAATATATCCTGTTCTGATCATAGATTCCACCCAGTTCAATATATAAAAGTTCCCCTGAGAAGATTTTGTTACTGCAGATTGCCCGGTAATCAGCTCAAGCAAGATAATCCCAAAGCTATACACATCACTTTGCTTATTAACATTTCCATGACTATGAGTTCTGTGTATTAACCACATAAAAAATGGATACTCAAGTCAATAAGAAACCGAAGTGTTGAGTATTCAAAAGTTCTTAAAACTCTACTTACATAGGATCGAGATATCCTGGAGTACCAGCAAGACGAGTTAAAAGTCGAGATTGATTTTCAGTTGAAAAAGTTCTGGATAATCCAAAATCAGCTATTTTAGCATGCATTGTCTTGTCTAATAATATGTTCGCAGGTTTTAGATCTCTATGAATGATGGGGGGTTTGCAGCCTTTGTGTAAATACTCCAATCCTGTAATATGCATAGTGCAGGCATGCCGCCCAAATTAAAAACACTTCATATAATCATGGTCCAAGCCCACTCCTAGTAGATATTGTACATTTTGGCTCGTTACGTATCGTCGTCAGCCTCACAATTTTAAAACATGTCTACTAGGGAGTGGTTTCCACACCTTATAAGGAATGTAAGGTTTTTAATAACCGAGGCACACCGCTAACAGATATTGTTCTAATTGGGCTTTCCCTTTTAGGCTTCCCCTCAAGGCTTTAAAATGCGTATGCTAGGAGAAGGTTTCCATACCCTTAAAGGTGTTTTGTTCTCCTCCCCAACCAATGTGGGACATCACACGTTCCCCTCTCCAACAGATGTGAGACCTCACAACCCACCCCCTTTGGGCCCAGCGTCTTCGCTGACACACTGCCTGGTTCTAGCTCTGATACCGTTTGTAACAGTCCAAGTCCACCGCTTGCAGATATTGTCTGCTTTGGCCCATTAATATCGCTGTCAATCTCACGATTTTAAAACGCATCTACTAGGGAGAGGTTTCCACACCCTTATAAGGAATGTTTCGTTCCCCTCTCCAACCGATGTGGGACCTCACACCTAGCTTCAACAAATTGGGGAGATAAGATATAAACAAATGGATTTTGATTTTGCTTACTAACCCCGAGCTGCATCCACTGCAATTTGAACTCTTCCAACCCAGCTAAGAGAATTCATATTTGAGTTTGTATTTCTGTCTGCATGGAAAACACATAATGTTAGATTAAAAGTGTATCTCAATGGAGAATGCAGTGTATTCTACAGAGTACTTACTTGATACATATTGTTCTAAACTGCCATTAGCCATGTATTCATAAATAAGTGCCCTGTGATCGCCTTCATCACAGTATCCAAGAAGAGAAACCAAGTTGCAATGATGAAGAACCATAAGAAGTTGTGCCTGCATTATTATAATAAATGTTTTACAATTAATATGATATATAATGAATGAAATAAAGCAGTGGCAATCAGCTTAGCTTAGCTCCTAGTTTAAGTGTGGTTGCATGTGAGATCCTACGTCGACTAGAAAGGGGAACAAAGCTTTTCTTATAAATGTGTGGAAACCTCTCCCTACTAGAGAAGTTTTAGAAATTGTAGGCCAATGGCAATACGTAATGGGTAAAAGCGGACAATATCTACTAGCGGTTTATTTGGGCTGTTACAAATGGTATCAAAGCCAGATATCGGGCGGTGTGTCAACGAGGACGCGGGGCCCCCAAGGGAGGTAGATTGCGAGATCCCAAATCGGTTAGAGAGAAGAACAAACCATTCCTTATAAGGGTGTGGAAACCTCTTCTTAGTAGACACATTTTTAAAACGGTTAGGTTGACGGCGATATATAATGGGCCAAAGTGGACAAATTCTACTGGTAGTGGGCTTGGGCGGTTATAAATGGTATCAAAGTTAGACACCTGGTGGTATGTCAGCGGACGTTGGGCCCCCAAGAAGGGTGGATTCTGAGATCCCACATCAGTTAGAGAGGGGAACAAACCATTCTTTATAAGGGTGTGGAAACCTCTCCCTAATATACGTGTCTTAAAAATCGTATGATTGACGGCGATACGTAACGAGCCAAAGTAAACAATATTATATGCACGTTGGCAGTGGCATAAGCACCTCTGCTTGAAATTCTTTGTAGCCTTGTTGTGATGTTGGTGAAAGCACCTTCACAGCAACCATGGTTTGTTGATCTTCAAGAACACCCAGAAAAACTTTCCCAAATCCTCCTTCTCCAATAACCACTCTAAAGTCTTCAGTAATACTTACAACCTCCAAATAAGTGTATCGTCTGTTCTTCAATCTTATTGCTCCTGATCTTTGCTTCCTTTCAACCGAATTATTATTGCCTGAGGAAATTCTAAAACTTCAAAATGTAATAACAACAATCCAGGACCAGGCTGTTTACCAAACAAACACCAAACACTGAGTGAATAAATAGAATAAGTGAAAGGAAGAACATGCCTTTGTTGGTTCTTCTTGTATAGATAATCATTATAATCACTCCTCCCAAGAGTACCAGGACAAGGGCTGCTATCACGCCGCAAAAAATAGGAACTGGAATGGCCAACTGCTTCTTTCTGTGCAGGTTGCATGGAGGCGACCAACAGAGTTCAGGATTTCCTTCCACACTGAATTAAATCAAAAAGAAGAAAATGAAGTCCTCTAAGTTTGTGGCTGTATTGAACTTGAATGTTCAAAATAAAGATAAATTTAAGGAAAGAGACCTTAAAACTAAAGTTCTATCTTTGGACTTCTGGAGAAGAGTTTCAGGTACTACACCAGTGAGTTTATTCCCACTCAAATTACTGCATGCATGAAATGAGAAGAATATAGGTTACCCTGTAATGTATATTGAAACAATGTTATGTTTTTAAGATCAAATGACGTACAGATGTTGCAGTTGTGGTAATAGGCCCAAGAATTCTGGTATTCCTCCTTTCAACTCGTTATAGGATAGATCTCTAAGAAATAACAAGAATCATGACAGTATTAAACATAAATGTCGCAAGCAGCTCAATTATAGTCAAATCAGAGGGTTTTTGGAGCATGAAAATTGAAATAGTTACATGCAGTTGATTGCTGTAAGAAGGGAGATGGGAGCTGGGATGTCTCCCATCAAGTTGCTGTTGCTTAAGTTACTGCATGCCAAAACATAAATTTGGATATCAGTGACAGATTACAGAAATTTGAACGCTTGATTCAGTGAGTTTTCTGGATGAGAAAGTACTTAACAGTGAAATAATTCTAGGCCAAGAAGGGGGGTTAGCGTTATTGCTGCAAGTCAATCCCTCCCAGGAGAATGCTGGTGGTTCACAAGGATCTCCCTGCCAATTTTTACTCAACTTGTAATGGCTCTTGATGTCCCTTATTGCATGCACTGCACGAAAGTACACGTATTTATGAACAATTGTAACGGTCCAAACCCACTGCTAACAGATATTGTCTTTTTTGGGCTTTCTCTTTCGGGCTTCCCCCTAAGGTTTTTAAAATGCGTTTGTTAGGGAGATGTTTCTACACCCTTATAAAGAATGTTTTATTCCCCTCTCAACCAATATGGGATCTCACAATCCACCCCCTTCAAAGCCCAGCGTCCTCGCTGACATTCGTTCCTCATGGTTGAAGAGGGGAACAAGTGCCAACGAGAACAATGGGCCCCAAAGGGGGTGGATTGTGAGATCCCACATGGTTGAAGAGGGGAACGAGTGTTAGCGAGGACGCTGGGTCCCGAAGAGGTTGGATTGTGAGATCCCACGACGGTTGAAGAGGGGAACGAAACATTCTTTATAAAGGTGTGGAAACCTCTCCTTCGCAGACACATTTTAAAAACCTTCAGGGAAGTCCGAAAGAGGAAGTCCAAAGAGGACAATATTTACCAATGGTGGGTTTGGATTGTTAAATCAATACTTGGTTGTAGCCATTTCTTGGAATGATTCGATGAGGTAAGACTTCGTTTGAATCTAAGAAAGTCATTCCAAATGGACGCTAAAGAAAAGGAAGAGGACCGTACCATCTTGGGAGAAGGTGAGTGAATTAGTAGTGTCCATGGTACAGAAAATCTGAATGGCATTAAGGATAGGAGGGAGGGAAGAGGCAGAGGTTGCAGAAATTGACAATTTATTAACTTGGTTAAGAACCACATCATAGACTTTTGAGCAAAGGGATTGTGGGGTGAGATATTGGAGCAGTTTAATGGAGCTAGTGATGATATGAACATCGTTGAATGTAATACTCATTTCTCGAAAGTGCCCAGATGGAAGCTTCTCAATCTCTGCAAAATGAAAGCAAAAGTAATACCGAGAATTACTCCCTTGCTTAGGCGTCCAGGTATACTCCAATGGAAAGCTGGAATTGGTGGCACGACATGCCGTTTGCAACAGAGCCGGCGGCAGCTTGTGTGGATCATCGTTGCTCTCAGTTATAGACGCCTCCGTTGACACCAATATCGAATTATCACCAAATGCATCATCACATTCGTAACCTTCCCAATATCGATCAAAAACATCTTGCGGGTATCTGCATTATAATTAACCAAAAGGGTATAGCCGGGTGGCTTTAAGAAGTAGACTATATCATTGCATGAACGTATCCTAATTATAATGAACATATCCTATCCGTATAGTTTCATTCAAATCTGCCATGACATAGCCTAATCATATCATTTTCTGAGCATATCTTAGTAATACAGTTACATTATGTGTATCGGATCCTTCTCGTATTCTATCTCAAATATATTATCGAATACAACATACGTAAGAGTTATCATACCATTCGCATATCATAACATATGCATACAAGCAGAAGTATTGATTACCGAATTTGTTTGGTGCCTCCAATGTCCCACTGTGCCCAAAGTTGCAAGGGTTTTGCGTCGTTACTGGGATCAGTTGGGTAAAGGGAGATGTCCAATGGTCGTAATTCCAAGGCAGAAATGTAAGGCACTCCATTCACGATTCCAGTGTTAACCAAACAGACGTCCAGATAATCCGTGCCGCCGGCGGAATTGGAAGAAGAAGGAGGAGTAACAGCATCCAGAGTTAGACTACTTAGTTTTATAGTAGTCCAGAAGTTCACGCCCAGATACAGGTCAAAGATCGGGGTGGTGTTTAAGCCGTCATAATCGCCATACACAAAGGAAGCTCTGATCAGATATCTTTTACTACTGCTCTGTTCTTTCATCTGGTTCTGATCTGGTGCAAGACGATAGCAATTCCTTGTGCCGTTTGGAAAGCTTCTCAAACTCCAGTATTGTGATGCCAAACCCGCACGAAGCTTTGGTGATATTTGATAGCTCATTCCTGAATCCATCATATATTTGTCAGACTTATAATCCAACCCAGGCCATGTGCTTATCGTGTCTTCAGATGCGCCGCAGTCGATGTTGATGAAACCATCCACCGATCCTTCTTTTTGCAGCAGAGAAGCGGCGAGAAGGCAGCGGCAGTGGAAGCCCATCGCCAGAAGACATACACACGCACACACCACAGAAGCTAAGCGCGATTCCACGCCCATGCCCATGCCCATTACCAAGGAACGTAAAACAACCCAACTTCGCCATTTTTGGGTCACTAATTATTCTCTCTATATAGAACCAAACTTCATTGTTCTTGAATTTCCACCCTTAATTTCGAATCGGACTTGCTTGACGGGCATTTCTTAAACTTCACTATCAAATTCAAGTCAAAAAGTTGAGACTAGGCTCGATAACTTCCCGGTCCCTTGTACCATATACTGGGTCGTCTATCACTTTTTACCTATTTTCATTACAGAGCCGGTTAGTCTAGCCTTTGATTTCGAGTTTCAAATTTTAAGCCGAGACAATTTGGATAAGGGAAACTAGACTTTCTTCTTTCCTAAGCTTCAAAACTCAGCTATTATTCCGAGCTAGCTGCACTAGTGCACGTGTCTAGTTCAGTCGTTTACCGATTCTTTCTAAAAGACATTATAAATAGAAAACATGAAAGTCTCACGCTCGAGTAGTCGGCTTAACAATAATGACATTTGCCGTTAGTTTCAAGTCTTGAAGAAGAGAACAAAGCTAGAGAGACTTACGAAGGCAACTTTTAATTACTATCGAAGTTTAAAACACGACAACTTTTAGAATATAATTCTAAATTATCTGGATGAATATTAAGTAGCATGTTAATCCCTTAACTCAACAATAATTATTTTTTGAATTTATAATATTGAAATTTGAATTTTTTTAAAATAAAATTGATTGAATATTATATGATAATTTTACTTATGAATTATTATTTAATTTATCAAGATATTTTTATTTTTTCAATAAAAATTATATAAAGAATGAAAACTATTATTTAAAAATTTCTTGGAAAAAAATAATTAAAAGACTTTTAAAACATGGAATGCAAGAGCCTCTCTTTATTTACTCCTTAATATAAATAAGTAATTAAAATTAATTAATCAATAATAATTTTTAGAAATACTTACTCACTCCTAAAAATAAAAAAATTATTAAATCAATTAAAAATATAACCTGTACCAATTATTTAAAATTAAAATTTTATATAATTTTATTAAATATCATTTATTTATTTGAAGATAATTATTAAAATTATGAGTAAATAAATTCAAAAATCTAAAAGGTATATTATACGTAATATATTTATTAATAAATAAAAATTAAACTAAAATCTAATTAGTTAAAATTATTTTAATAATATGACAAAATAAAAATGATATGAATAACTCTCCATTAATTAATTATTTAAGTAATTAAGGAACCAAACAAAAATATTATTTATATATATGAAAATTTAAAAAACATTTTTAAGAAACATAAAACACATTTATTTTTTAATTTAAAAAATCTAGGGTCGAGCGAACCCGTCCATACTATGCATAAAGAGAGTAGCTCTTAAAGAACAACACGACGAGGTGTATACTCAGGTTGGGTCATACCGATCATAAAAGTGAGATTGAGTTGGATTATGAACCCTATTTTTAGTTTTTCGGATTGACCTGATCCAAAAAGCTCAAACTCACTAATCAAACTTAATTTTTTGTTTTTCGGAAAAAAAAAAAACCAACTAAAAAAACTTAATACAACCCAACATAACCTTAGCATTACGTAATTCAGGTTGTCTAGGTCGGGTCATATGAACACCATGACTAAACACATTCCAACACACAATTTAGAGTTTAATGTATTTAGATTAAAATTTGAATTTCGATTTAATACCTAACGGTACTGATGTTCTCTTGTGGCTTGAACGTGTTAATACACCAAGGATACACATTCACATAGCATACGAGTAACCACAGTGGTTTAAGTTTAAAAACTCATACAACTCGTCAATAATTCCAATCTTTTGAGTCTTTGACCCGATAATGCAAGGTTAAATTATTAAAATAAAAAAAGTATATTTAGACAAAAAATTGGATATAAAATGGTGAGACGAATGACTCGACTCCATACAATATGGAGAAAAACTTGTGCGTTCGACTCAAATATTATACCGTCAAATAATATAGGTTCTATACACCGTTTTAGGTCTCAATTTCTATTCAGTATTTTAACGTATTTAACTCAAATATTAATTTTAAAATGATTATAAACCGATCAAAAATAATATTATACCATTTAAAAGTATAGAGATATTTCTAAAATAAATAAAGGATTTTGCTTATAATTAAGCCATAATTCATAACTTAATTAAACTTTAAAAAAAAAAAACTAACAACGAATAAGTTAATAGAATAATTCATTATTCAACTTTTTTTAATTAAAAATAAAATTTTAATATATAAAATATTTATTTATTTCGAAAGTAATTCAATTTTAATAATATTTTTAAAAGCTATATTCCAAACTTAAAATTTAGAATAAATAATAAAACCATTAATTATAAAATTAAATAAATCGAAGTAATAATAAATTCGAATTAATTCGGGTCATCTACTTATCTTCCATCCAAATAAGTTATAACCCAATTCAAGTTGTACAGGTTTAGTTGATCGGGTTTTTCAAATTATTAATTTTTTTTTACCACCAATAAATTAACCCATTAATTTAACTATGATTCCCTCCTAATTTATTTTTAAAATCACATAAAAAACAATTAACATCATCACCAACTAAAGCATTAGGTTAACGTCATCGAACCAAATTAGTACAAGTAGATTGATAGCCGTATCCGTCGTTGAACATAATATGAATCTAATTAAAAAATTAATCTTAAACCAGCTAAATATTTATAATCAATTAGCGATTCAAATATTCGATTTAAATAATTGAGTTTAATATTTAATTTAATCAGTTTAAATAATTGAGGTAACGATATATATATATTTATTTATTTTATTACAACTCATTTTTTATTTTATAATATAAGTTTAAAAGGCTTTCTAAATTAGGAGCCAAAATTTTAAAAATAAATTCAAGATATTGAATCCATTTTAGTTGAAGTATTGAGATACGAAATCTATTAAAATATTAAAATATTGTATGAAAATAAGGTGTGTTTTTAAAAAAAAATATAAATTTGGATGGAATTGAAATTAAATAAAATTTATTAATTTTTAACCCTAAAATTAATAATAAATTATAAATAGTTTAACATTAAAATATCTGAATTTTTAAATTCTTAAATTAATTTGCTTAAAATTAGAAAATTAGTTTCTATTGTTAATTTAATTAATTTTTTTTTTAAAAAAGTAAATCTTTTTTTTTTTTTTCATTTGTAACGTATCTGTTATTGAATGGATAATAATATTATTTTTTATTGAATCAAATTAATAATAAAAACTTATATTATTTTAAGATAGGTTAAAAGAAATATAATGAATAAATTCAAAAAATACCCATTAATATTATATATATATATAAAAATAAATTATATTAATATTTATGATGTCATATGGGTTAAAAGATTTTTTTTAATTGATTCTTACAAAAAAAAAAAAAAAAAAGTTTGGTAGTGATCTAATATTCTTACCAAGCAAAGCGAAAAAATGGATATGATCTCGGACCTCTAAAATCAAAGGCTTTGACTTTTGATTTGACTAAAATAATTGATTTGATTTAAATAGGGTTCATAATAGGTGTCTTGTTTACTCGGGTTTGAATTCTAATTACTTTTTATATAAGAAAGAAGAACCATTTGAATGAGAGCGATTACTTTCCAAATCGTTGCGTAACAATTTTCGGCTAAGGATCGATATGAATCGGCTAAGATTTTTACTTATATTAATGCATGGAAATATATTTGGTTCGAATGCTGAAAATCAAGTTATATATTAATGAAATTTCGTGAATATTTTAACAATTTTAATAATATATTAAAAACCTTATATCATTTAATACAAAATGAAGCATATTATTTTCATGATTTTATTCTTCACTTAGAATATCAAACTGCTTCATTAGACATTAACCAAATTAAAATAAAGCTAAATTTTTGTTTGCATGGAGAGAGTCTCCTTATTCCTAAAGCTTCTCCCAAGCTCAGCAGCAAGTTTTCATGGCGACCCATTCTGAGATGAAGTCTGAATCGGAGTAGCGCAGCACCGGCAACAGGATCCCGCCGGAGCTGGCTCACAGCACACGCAGGCCGGGCATATCGGTGGCCTATTAACTGCATCATCACCAAACTCAAAAGCTTAAATATAAAAACTCAAACAAGACAATCGATGGAAAAAATCAAATGGTTATTAAACGGAGCCTTAACAAATTCTCACCTTGTTGCAGAAGCGCACGTGTAGCATTGGCAGTGGAAATCGTCATGGGGGAGAGAACCATGGCGAAGACAAGAACCGTGACGAAAATGGAGATAGGAGAGAAGTTATGTGTAATAGCCATGGTTGAAATTTGAAGAGTTATCAAGAGGTTGATATGGGTATGTGTTTATATAGGAAGCCATGGGATATCGAAATTGGCCGAAAGAAGAAGCGAAATTAAGTATATTTGTACAAATTTGACTCTTTTTTTTTTTCTTCTTTTCGCGTTGCATAGTCCAACTTTTCATCCAAATCTTCTAATATTGTATACGAAATGAATCAATTTTGATGGGTTGGGACTCAAAATTCTAGTAAATCTATTTCGCTCGACTAGAGTTTATTTTGCTTTTATATATATATATATATATATTTATTGGATTTTACAGCGCATAATGTAAATAGATGTGAAAACAACGTACATCATATATATATATACATCATATATATATAGTGAATTATATATATATAGTGAATTTTACAGAATAGATATGAAAACAACGAACATCATGTATATATATATATATATATATATAGGATTTTACAGCACATAATGCACATCGATGTGAAAACAACAAACATCTTATTGTCCGTCCATACTAGAAAACCCTAACGCATAATTGTATTAAATTTGAACAGACATTACTCTTCCTATTTCAAAAAATTGGTTGGATATGAAATTTGATGTGTAGCCTTCGTCTAGTCTAATCCTTTATAGTATGGTTTGAGAAGAAGTTTTGAACAGTATTCATTCATTTTTATATTAACTTGATGTGAGATTCTACGCCGATGGGAGCGGGGAACAGATCCATAGATCTCTCTAGTAGATGCATTGAGTGAAGGTCGGGAAGGGAAAGTCCAAAATGACAATATCCCACTGGAACGTTGGACCCCAAAGGGTGGAGATTGTTAGATAACTCATTTCTTATAAAAGTGTGGAAACCTCTCCATTAGCTCTGGGCTTGAGTCATTACAAATGATATTAAAGTCAGACATCGAACGGTATCCAACGAGAATGTTGGGCTCCAATGAGATAGATTGTGCAATCCCACATTGGTGTGTAGGAGATTGTTAGATAACTCATTTCTTATAAAAGTGTGGAAACCTCTCCATTAGCTCTGGGCTTGAGTCATTACAAATGATATTAAAGTCAGACATCGAACGGTATCCAACGAGAATGTTGGGCTCCAATGAGATAGATTGTGCAATCCCACATTGGTGTGTAGGAGATTGTTAGATAACTCATTTCTTATAAAAGTGTGGAAACCTCTCCATTAGCTCTGGGCTTGAGTCATTACAAATGATATTAAAGTCAGACATCGAACGGTATCCAACGAGAATGTTGGGCTCCAATGAGATAGATTGTGCAATCCCACATTGGTGTGTAGGAGATTGTTAGATAACTCATTTCTTATAAAAGTGTGGAAACCTCTCCATTAGCTCTGGGCTTGAGTCATTACAAATGATATTAAAGTCAGACATCGAACGGTATCCAACGAGAATGTTGGGCTCCAATGAGATAGATTGTACAATCCCACATTGGTGTGTATGACAAAATAGTTACTTAGTTCTCGTTGGGCCTTCAAGGGGTGCGATGACAAAATAGTTAGTTGACTTGGGCAATTATATTTATTTCTTTTGGAGATGAATCGTGTGAAGGTGGCTTTTTTTTTTTTTTTTTTTTTTTTTTTTTTTTTTTTTTTTTTTTTTTGAGTTNATATACGTTTAGACCCGTTAAACTATATTCATACGAGTACCTTTCTTTTTCTCATCTTTCTTCTCTTTTTCCTTGGTGTCGTCGTTGTCTCCTTGTCAAAGCTAGTTACCATCCTGTCGTCTACGATCGATCCCCAACATTCGAGTGTCATATCTTAAGCTTCCTTCGCTCAAGTTTGGAAATACAGGGAGTCTTCTTCTCCTTGTGTGAGGTCTAAGAGATAAGTGTAACGACCTAGATCCACTGTTAGTAGATATTGTCCTCTTTGGGCCTTCCCCTCAAGGCTTTAAAACGCGTCTGCTAGGGGAAGGTTTCCACACCCTTATAAATTGTGATTTGTTCTCCTCTCCAACTAAGGTGGGACATCACATGAAGCTTCCCTATTCCAATTTCAAAACGACTGGCAACGTGATGACAACAGGCTAGCAAAGATAGCTAAGGTCCCTGGAAAAGGAGAAGGAAAAAGAATGAAATGCTCACATTAGTTTGATCTCAAAAATTAATGTAAAATTAATATAATTGAGTAAAGTCAACAAGCTAAATTAGCAATCATTAGCAATAAACATTTGATTACCAAGTCAAAACTTATCATTCATCATCTGTCAGATCAAGCAACAAAACTAGCAGATAAGTTCACTATTTAAATTAAACAAATTCACAACATATGTATATATATATGAATAAGGTCCACATCCTTTTATTCCACACGTATTTGTGAAGATTAAAGCTAATGCGGCCATTGACTCCACAAAGTCAACGGCTTCCCATGTGCCCATTCTTTTGTAGTCTTGAGTAAACTTGGGACGCACAGAAAAAGAAAAGAAAAAAACTTATGCAGTCAAGTTTGTATCTTCAATTCTTATACCAATTGAGTTGCCTCCAATGGTGGAATGGCATTCATTGGAGAAATATGGAGATAGTTTTCAATCCTATGAAAAGAAAACATTCAAATGAATATGCATAATACCTCTCCTGCTGCAAGCTGATCAAAGCGTTATGAATTTCTGTTGTCCACCGCTAAGTTTTTGACAACTGAGAGAGGATAGAAACTTCCCATTATCATCAAGGTTAAAAATTTAATGGAAATATTGTTAGTAAATTTCAGAAGCTCAAATTCCGCAGAGGTTAATTCGTAATTGAATGCAAATGATTCTCTACCATTGTTGGACTTGGTCTGTCTGTCTTTTTCCCTGATATTTCCCATAAAAAAAATGTCAAAATCAATGGAAATGGAGGCCCTCTCTCTAACCTTTCCTACTTAGCAGCTCATAATGAAGAAATTAAGCTTCATCTCTGTATAATATGATTGTCATGATATATAATTTAGTACGAGTTTTAAACTATTCTGCAAAACTAGGCTTACAAAACAACCCAAAACTCGTTGATAAACGAAAGGGTTCCAGTTTCAATTCTTAAATTAATTAAACTATACATATGATTGATGGTAAGTTATTATAGTACCTGGTCAACTTTCCTATGTAACGTGCCTTGCATGTCACAGAGACCAGCAGTGGATATTGGCCAAGCTGTGTTAAGAAAATCCCTATATTTTTTACTTCCTATATGATACATTCAACGTCAATGCCTCAAGGCGCTCATAAAGTCGGCTCCTTTCTCAATTCTCATAAACTGATGCAGCAGAAAACAGACCCAAGAAGATGAAGATTATGGAATTATCAGGGTTCCATTCCCTCTTTGGTTTTCTGCTATGTGGTCTAACTCTTCTATTGCTTGTTCAAGCTCAGGATCAGTCAGGTAACAAAGATATCTCCATTTTTAATCAATCATTCTTCTAATCATCTTTAGAGTTACATAAAAGAGTTGAGATTTATATTGTTTTCTTGTATGTTTTTCAGGCTTCATTAGTTTAGACTGTGGAACACCAGAGAGTACAAGTTACACAGAAACGACAACCAAGATCGACTATGTTTCTGATGCACCCTTCATAAACAGTGGTGTAAGTGGAAATGTAGCTTCGATTTATGGAGATATCTACCAAAGGCAAATGAGGAAACTCAGAAGCTTCCCCCAAGGAATCAGAAATTGTTACAATGTAAGCGTTAAAAGGGATACCAAATACTTGATTCGAGCAAGTTTCTTGTACGGGAATTACGATGGCCTGAATTTGCCACCGAACTTTGACCTCTATATTGGGAATAGCTTATGGGAAACAATAAACTTAACCAAAAATGGCATTGATGCTTTCAAAGATCTCATACATGTAACCTCCTCAAATGAAGTTCACATCTGTCTGATCAATAAAGGAAATGGGGTACCATTCATCTCAGCCTTGGAATTTAGACCTTTACTCAACGTTACTTATCAAACAGCGTCAGGATCCTTATCACTGTATTATCGATTGGACGTTGGTTCCACAAAAAATCAAACATACAGGTATTTAAGCACCAACTTCGCAAACAAATTTTACTGTTAATAAAAGAGTACATGCTTTAACAAGTAAGATGATGAGATAATATTTTGTTTATGTGTTTGCTCTCTCTTAAGGTTCCCTTTTGATGTTTATGATCGCTTCTGGTCACCATTTAACTTCAATGAGTGGACACAAGTGAGCACCAATCAAACTGTAGATGCTATAGATCACAACAATCACCAACCGCCATCCATTGTCATGAAAACTGCTTCCTTCGCAACAAATGCAAGCAAACCACTGGAAATTTGGTGGGATACCGTAGATTCATCTCAATATTATGTATTTATCCACTTTGCGGAAGTTGTGGAGCTTAGAGGCAACCAGAGTAGAGGATTCAATATCATGCACAATGGGGATCATTTTTATGGACCTCTAATTCCGAGTTATTTATCCACACTGACCATTTACAGTCTAGAACCATTGGATGCAGCAGATAGACATACATTTTCCTTAATTCCAATTGAGAATGCAACACTTCCTCCAATCATTAATGCTTTCGAGATATATACAGTGAAGGATATATCAGAGTTAGCATCAGATAAAGGAGATGGTGGGTATCCTTCTTCAGATGCACTTTGTGATTTACTTTGTCAAAGTTAATGAATTTTAATTCGACTACTTCTTTGGATAAATAGTGGATGCAATTACCAATATCAAGTCAACCTATGGGGTAAAAAAGGATTGGCAAGGAGATCCATGTGTGCCGATGAGATACCCCTGGAGTGGGTTAAATTGTAGCAATGAAGCTGCACCAAGAATCACATCCTTGTAAGTTCAAGCCTTTTATGAAGCTTGATTTTTTCTTAAATGTATGAATCAAATGAATTCATGAGAAGGGTGAATTTTGTGAACAGGAACTTGTCTACAAGTGGACTGAATGGTGAAATATCTTCTTACATATCCAATCTAACAATGTTGCAAACTTTGTAAGTGTCTTTCCAATAAGCTGGATTTATTCGGAAAATAAATACTAATCTACTGCATTTGTTTCTTTAGGGACTTGTCAAACAATAATTTGACAGGGAAGGTGCCTGATTTCCTGTCTAGTTTGTTGCACCTCAAACTTCTGTAAGTTATATGGAAAAACAAATATGAAGCTCAACTTGAAACAGAACACAATTGAGTTATTGTTGTCCCTATTTGCAGGAACCTAGGTAACAATAACCTCTCAGGTCCAATACCGGCTGATCTTTTGAAAAGATCCAATGATGGCTCACTATCATTAAGGTCAGTTTGATGAAGAGAAAAGAACTGAAATTATAATTTTGCATTTTTGACTTGTTATGCTTCATATGTTATGGCATTTTTCCTGGAAACTGAAAATTTTCCGAAGTCACAATCTAAGTCAAACTTATCTAGCCATGAATGGTACCGATTTCAGTGTGGGAGGAAACCAAAATCTCGATGGATGTACATCAGATCCATGTCCAAAGAATGAAAAGAAAAACAACATCATCATTCCAATTGTAGCATCAATTGGTGGAGTCCTAGTTATCGCCACAATTGCTGCAATAACCTTTTGGATCATCAAATCTCGAAAGAAACCACAAGGTAAAAATGTTGTCTCAGTAGTGGATAAGTCAGAAACCAACAGTCAATTTGGTAATTCGTTGGAGGTGAGAAGACAACAATTTACATATTCTGAGGTGGTGAAAATGACCAACAATTTCACAAGAGTTCTGGGTAAAGGAGGTTTTGGGGAGGTCTATTATGGTGTCATTGACGACATTCAAGTGGCAGTGAAGATGTTATCTTTGTCATCATCACAAGGGTATCGGCAATTTCAAGCAGAGGCATGCTATCCTGAATCCATAATTTCAATTCTGAGTTTACTAATTCGCTAACAACTTTACATTAAACTTAACATGATAACTCCAAAAATGCAGGTTACCCTTCTTATGAGAGTTCATCATAGAAACTTGACAAGCCTAGTTGGATATTTGAATGAAGGAAACCACCTGGGCCTCATTTACGAGTACATGGCCAATGGCGATTTAGCAGAACAACTTTCAGGTAAACTCAATGATACTTAGCTCCACAATACTACTTACAAGCTTAAGCTAAACCTAACCCTTTTGTAAAGACAAAGAGTTTATCTTTCTTTTGTTTTTGTTTCACTTGTAAGCAGAGAGGAGTCCAAGTATCCTAAATTGGGAAGATAGACTTCGAATAGCAATGGATGCAGCTCAAGGTGAAAAATCTAGACCAATTAGATCAGTAATTTAATCATTTCTACCAAAAAATTTATCTCCCTAAACAAAGTAAAAGCTAACATTTTAATTATACGAAAATTACAGGACTGGAGTACCTGCATTACGGTTGTAAGCCACCAATTGTTCACAGAGATGTGAAAACAACAAACATCTTGTTGACAGATAATTTCCAAGGCAAACTTGCCGATTTCGGTCTTTCCAAAAGCTTTCCCATCGATGGCAACACCCACATGTCGACGGTTGTCGCTGGCACACCTGGTTACCTTGATCCAGAGTAAGTACTAGTTTTAAGCGTCATCAATTTCATTGCTTCGTTTTTCTTTTATTTTCCCTGATAAACAACCAAATTTATTGAGAAAAATAAAATAGAATACCAAGGGCGTACAAAAAAGCAACCAACAAAAGAAGTTCAAATAACTACAAAGAAAAGATTCAATCCAAAAGAATAATCCCTAGTTGATAACTACAAAAAGACTTAGCTACAGGAGTCACAACGAAGCATTAAACCAAACAACCCCCCACAACTCCCCCTCAGACCTGCAGCTCCTCAAAAAAAGCCTTATAATTCCCCTCAAACCATATTTCCCAAAGAATGCCAAAGAAACAAGTATACCCAAGTAGTTTTACCCTTCTCCCTAAAAGGGCATTCAACAAAATCTCACCGATTATATCCCAGCAAACCCTGCTCCAACATGATTCCTTTTCTTAACATGCAATTTAAACAAAACCCCAATCAATTGCAACAAAAACTCGACTAAACAGATTTAATGGCTGTTCTCTCAGGTACTACGTATCAAACAGACTAACAGAGAAAAGCGATGTATACAGCTTTGGGATAGCTCTATTAGAGATAATCAGTTGCAAACCAGTAATATCAAGAACCGGAGTTACACCACATATAGCTAAATGGGCTACATCTTTGCTGGCACAAGGAGATATTCAGAGCATTGTCGATCCAAGATTACAAGGGCAATATGACACTAACTCTGTTTGGAAGACGGCGGAAGTGGCAATGGCTTGTGTAGCGGCAAATTCCAGTAGAAGGCCAACAATGAACGACGTTGTGGCAGAACTCAAAGATTGCTTAGCCATGGAATTGAGTCGAAAGATTGAGAATCGTTCGCTTGTTTCAATAAATTCCATCCAATCGAGGCCCATCTCCACTGTGGGGTTCAGTGGTACCGATTCTGGTCCCATGGCGAGGTGAATATCGAATTCTCCAGCTTGAAAATATGGATCATTTCTCGAAGGAGATTTGTACTGTATTTGTTATCAAACCATCTTTGTAACTTTTTTTTTTTGGCAGTCGCACAACAAAACTTGGTGATTGTTTTCTTTTCTTCGTACTTCCTAAAACTGGTTGATGTATTTTGATTTTGAACAAGGGCTTAATTTATTCGTACTTCATTTAATTTTTAAATTTTTTGAGTTTGTCAATGATACACAAAATTAAAAAACTTTAGAAATATTATAAGTCATTTATTAAATTTATTATTTAACATTTTTTTAGTTTAAGAATTGCCAAAGTTGAGGATCGAACCATTAACTTTAGTGAATAATCTGTGCATTATCTATTGAGTTTGTTTCATCAACAAATAAATTGATATATTCATGTTGTCAAGTTTAGACAACTTAGAAATGAATTTGTAAAAATGGTATGGGCATGGAAAAGGCATGGAAATCAAGATTGAATAATGTTGCCACAATGTTAGTGTCGTTGACATTCTTTCAGTCAATTGTTAGACCAGTCAACAATGAGCAAATCAAACCTGTCAGTACAATTATAAGAACGTAAGCCAACTTTTTATAATCACTCTAAATGCACATATTTATTTATTTTAATCCCTTTTGATATAATGAAACTCATATATACTATATGTAATCATGCATGAAGTTGATGCGTCTTGTTCATCTTGATTTCAATAAGTTAGTTCTTTTGTTGTTTCTCCCTTTTTAATACTCGTTTCTCACTCATTTTCTCTCTTGTTGTTGCTCCCTTTTTTAGCTTTTCCCCTCTTTCCCCCTCTTTCTTCTTGTAACGACAACATCAGATTCCACTTCGTTGTCATTTCAAATCTAAGCAAAGAGGAGGGATGGCTACAGACATCTAGAGGTAAAAAAAAATGTTGCTATCGGATTCCATTGCCTAAATCACCGACAATTATCTTAGGACTTATTTTTTTTACTCTATAACTCAAAATGTGAAATTTTTGTTGAAGGGTCACTTGTAGATACATGTATGAATAGATACACGTAGGTTCATTAGTTCATAATCAATTAGGTGTATGACTTTTAGATAATAAATGGTATTGGGGAATGTCCCAAATTACCTATATATATGTATGTATGTTGTGGAAGTAGCAAAAAAATCAATTAAGCATTCGTCCATGGTAATACAAAGTTCTCTTCTTCTAAAGAATTCTACCAAATTTTTCTGTTGTCACCAATAACTGGTATCAGAGCAATCTTGCAGCAACAAGAATGACAGTAGAAAGACAAGTTGATAACTACGTTCAACCTGCCATCCCGAGATTCGATGGTCACTATGATCATTGGGCAATGTTGATGGAAACTTTCCTTAGATCAAAGGAGTTCTTGGATATGGTGGGGACGGGTTATATAGAGCCAAATGAGGGCAAGGTACTCTCAACTATTCAACAGCAACGGTTGGCAGTATCAAAGTTGAAGGACCTGAAGGTCAAGAACTACTTATTCTAGTCCATTGATCGGACTATCTTGGAAACAATGCTTCAGAAGAAGACGTCCAAGGAAATTTGGGACATTCCCCAATAGCATTCATTATCCAAAAGTCATGCACCTAATTAATTATGAACCAATGAACCTACATGTATCTATTCATACATGTCCTTATACATGTATCTATAAATGACCCTTCAACACATGTATTTATTCATACATGTATCTACAAGTGACCATTCAACACATGTATCTATTCATACATGTATCTATAAGTGACCATTCAACAAGAAGAGGTATATGTGGAGCAACCAGAAGGTTTTGTACAAAAAGGTAAAGAGGAAAAAGTGTACAAGTTGAAGAAAGCTTTGTACGGTTTGAAGCAAGCTCTGAGAGCACGGTATAGTCGCATTGATTCTCATTTTGAAAAGATGGGATTCACTAAATGCTCATATGAACCTACGTTGTATGTGAAAACCGAAAAGGGAGGTAACATTCTCATTATTTACCTATATGTCGATGATTTAATATTCACCGGCAATAATGAAGAAATGTTTAAATTTTTTAAGAAGAGCATGATAAAGGAATTTGAAATAACAGATCTTGGTTTGATGAGATATTTTCTTGGAGTAGAAGTTACTCAAACTGTCGTTGATAACTTTATCTGTCAGAAGAAATATGCTCAAGAGTTGCTTGAAAGATTTAAAATAGATGAGCGCACATTTGGAATTCCATCAGAATTGGGTTTGAAGTTGCACAAGGATATTGAAGGGTGAGAGGTTGATAATAGATACTTCAAGCAAATTGTGGGAAGTTTGATGTACTTAACTTCAACAAGACCAAACATCATGTATGTGGTTAGTATGATAAGTCGCTACATGGAGCATGCAATGGAAAAACATCTCAATGCAGCAAGAAGGATACTTCGTTATGTAAGAGAAATTTTTTATTTGGGGGTATTCTACACGAAAGGAGATGATTTGAAGATGGTTGACTATACATATAGCGGCTATGCAGGTGATATAGATGATCGTAAAAGTACTTCAGGAAGTATTTTCATGATGAGTTCAGGAGCTATTAGCTGGTCTTCCAAGAAGCAACCTATTGTGACACCTCAACTACAGAAGCAGAGTTTGGGGTAGCAGTAGCAACATGCTCGTGCTAAGGAATTTGTTAAAAAAAATGCTTGAAATTCTTAATCACAAGCAATCAGGTACGACGGTTATATATTGTGATAATATGTCAGCTATTAAGTTGTCTAGAAATCCAGTGTTGCACGGAAGGAGTAAGCACATCGATGTCCAGTTTCATTTCCTGCGTGATTTGTATAAAGAAGGCACTATTGAACTCAATTTTTGTGTAAGTGATGAACAAATCACAAACCTATTCACAAAGCCCTTGAAACAACTAGTATTTCAGAAGCTTAGAAGAAAGATGGGGATGTGCAGCATCCAAGAGGTAGTTCAAGAAGATGAAGTAAAGTCCTAAATTGATTTTTGCATAATTCAGTTTAAGGGAGGGTGTTGAAGGGTCACTTGTAGATACATGTGTTGAAAGGTCACTTGTAGATACATATATGAATAGATACATGTGTTGAAGGATCACTTGTAGATACATGTATGAATAGATACATGTGTTGAAGGGTCACTTATAGATACATGTGTTGGATGATGAAAGTCCCACATCGACTAATTTAGGGAATGGTCATGGGTTTATAATCAAAGAATACACTTTCTATTGGTATGAGGCCTTTTGGGGAAGCCCAAAGCAAAGCCATGAGAGCTTATGCTCAAAGTGGACAATATCATACCATTTTGGAGAGTCATGTTCGTCTAACAACATGTACAGATACATGTATAAGGACATGTATGAATAGATACACGTAGATTCATTAATTCATAATCAGGTGCATGACTTTTGGATAATTAATGGTATTGAGGAATGTCCAAAATTACCTATATATATATATATATATATATATATATATATATGTTGTGGAAGAAGTAGAAAATCAATTAAACATTCCTCCATTGTAATACAAAGTTCTCTTCTTCCAAAGAATTCTACCAAATTTCTCTACTGTCACCAACCATTTTAAAATACAACATTTACTACATAGAACATTTTTAAATTTTAGATCTGCTGCTAGACCAAATTTCTTTTTAGGAACAATGAATACATAAAACATGACCTAGTTCTACACCACAAACATAGAGGTAGGAATTTTAAGCAACCCATAAATAATAAGATAGATGTCTAACTATTTGAGTCATCTTCGAGTTCTGTTATTGCAAAAAGGGATTAGTATTTAGTAATATACTTCTGAACTTTATAATTGGGTAAGTATAGGTTCATCTACATAATCATCAGTTTCATTACGAGTCTATAGACTAACTTATGTACACCTTGACTAATCTACCACCATTAATGGTCAAAAATCAACAAGCTTGTAAGATTTTATTATCCAACTAGGTGGCCATTGAGTTTATACTTCCGCTTGCCTTTATCACATGGCTCAATACCACTACCCAAACTATAATCGTCATCTATTATCTATCAAAGTATTTGGCGTTTGGTGAGTTCCGCCCCCCAATAGCATGCTTATTATTCAATTGAACACTGGGCCATAAAATGAAAGAGTTTAAAGTTTTAAACATAACCTCTGCTGTGGTCAGCACGATGCAGATGGTTGGGTTGAAATTCTCTTGTCAGCTGTTGGTATTCAAAAAGATGGCCAAGTCCAAGTCAACTGTCGAGCATAAGAAAACATACCCCAAATTAGAACTGCCTAAAACTTCAATTAAAAAGAAACAAAACAAAAACCGGTATTTTTGTGGATGCTAGGAATCTATAATGTAAATTTATAAACTGCAGAACGTTGTAGATTTAGCAATCTGAACCTTTCTTAGAACAAAAATCTCCATGCTAGATTTTCAACATCAGTTCTTTTGCCAAATTTGATGAGAATATCATATTTAAAAGTAACATTAAAGCAGTGTACAAAATTTGTCCATACATCTAAAATGAGATTAATAAAGCAAATCAATTTGCCCATACATCTAAAATAGGGGTACTTTATATAGAGTAGTTCATATTTGATATTCTCATAAGTCATAAAAAAATTCAGCTCACACTTGCTTATCAGACTAAAAATATGCTAATTTCATACAGCTTACAGTTCTTAATGTTCACCACAGAAACTTGAACAATCTTGTAGGGTATTTGAGAGAAGGAACTCACCTTGGCCTAATTTATGAGTACATGGCCAATGGGTTTAGCACAGCGCCTTTCTGGTAATCCTAGTGTCTAGCAATGATTTGAAACAATGCATCAGCTTCCATGTTATATTGGAAATTTTTAACTCAGG